TATATGTACCTAGCCTCTCCCCAGACATCTCTCTATAGCTGACTATACTATAACTAGTTGATACTATTACGACTATCTGTACTAATGTAGTGTTAATGTAAAATATTATTTCAGTATAGAAAGTTTATTAAAAATCCAAAAGTTCAGTTGATCCCGGATCCCAGTGGCCCAGGTCCCAGGTTCCAAATTCCAGTGGCTAGGCCGCTAGTCGCTAGAGTACAAGCGCCAGACTGTCACTCAGACTCTAAAGTTCAGACTTAGACCGGCACAAGAGTCCCTGTCATTCAGTTTCAGTCTTGTAGTTTCAGACTTTCAGACCGCAGACCGGAAGTCGCCCAGACTCCCACGGTCCCACTGACTCCCCAACGGCCAAGCGGCCCAGCCCCCACTACCCCCAGGGCAACTCAGATGAATACATATTTATCGCTGTGTTGTGACTGGTAGATCTGATATTTTTAATCAATCACCTTTGTTTGTTGCGCAAGCTCCACACAAACTTTAAAAAAAAGAAGAACATCTGTGAAATGGGGGATCCTTAATACGTTTGCGATAATACCTAAACTCGAATAGACATACATTTACGTTAAGCGCTGAAACGGTGTTGGTCAATAATTATTTCTACGAGTGCATATTAGAAGCCCTCAGGTTTAAAGTTTTAAACGACACCTTCGGACAATGTCCATTAAAGTGGCACAGTAGGTCGATTTTTACTATTCTTTTGACCGGTATGAATGTAGTCATATGAATATAAGCGTTTACATTAAACAAATAAATTGTACCCTTTTAACGGATTGAGGTTTGTTAATGACTCTTTAAAATGAGGGGATTCGTGTCTGTGTGTGTGCACGTATCTCGTCAACAATTTATATAATAATAGTATAACATAAATTCATAAGATACACAAGTAAACATATTTAAGGTTGGCATTTGACATCTTCACAGCCAGTATATATTAATTTTCTATCATTAGTACATCATGACATCTACCATATACAGATCGACGAAGCTGTTTGTGTTATATACGCTATTGCAAGCTGTCATTGTATTAGCACAACCTTTAGACACCGCCATAGGCTCACATACACACAATGGAATGAGTTCAAATTCAATCCGGCTTCCCGCAAACGACGCAACAGACACCTGTCCCCATGGGTCGACTTGCTGTCCTGTATGTGGTATGGCCTTGCAAATCGACGATTCCTTCAAACTAGTGTACAATGAAGGTCAATATCTAAATACATGCAGCCTGGGGTGTGCACACAAATTAGCGGACGACCCCCTATTATACCAGACCAGCAATTCTGAGGGTATACTTGCAAGTGGGTCAGCCCTGGAACAGACTGACGAACTCAGTAGGAAAGATCAAGAGACAGACGACCATATAAGCGATCACAACGCCGGTGATCTCGAAGGGAAACAATGTCCCGTATGCGGCATGCAGGCTACTAAAGAACACTACATACACTTCAAGGGTAGACAGAGCCTGTGGTTCTGTGGAATGAGCAACCAGGTAACTAACTTTTTCGAAGCGCCCAGGAACTACCTACGCACCATCAAGCACATGAAGAAGGATGTGGAAGATGTTTCCTACTGCTCAGGTCGTACGGTCATGTTCATGTACGATGGGTTCACAACACAAGATACAACATGTATAGTCCTGTGGTTCTCCTGGTTTGTATTGGATTCACGTTTCAAGATGATGGTCGGCATGCTGGCGTGTTTCGGGCTGGCTGTGTTCCACGAGTACATGTCGTCATATCGACGCGGGCTTGTGTACCTGCAGCGTATGCAGGCTCTCGAGGGAAGGCCTCGTAAAGGCTCAGACGACTCGACCGAGCGAACTACCTTAATAGTATCACCAGGCAACCGAGGTAGCAACAAGCACCGCAGGAACAAGAAACTTGACGCAACTGTGGCTCTACTACACGGATTAAGTCTTGTGACGGGGTATTTGGCCATGTTGGCTGCCATGACGTACAGTACATATCTATTTTTGTCTGTTATTGCTGGGTTCTCGACAGGCCAGTATCTCTTCAGAGACTGCGACGCCCCGATTGCACCTGGGGATACGATAGAAGTGAGCGGCGATCCATGTTGTGCCGTGTAACGTGGGAAATGGGCTGGGGATTCGGGCACGGTAATTATTAGAATGAATGCTTGAGTATATTAGGAATATGTATATATTAAACGAGTTGGTACGAAGGTAACAGCAGGGATAAGCGGGGATGATTGGCGAAGGATGTTTTCTATTTTGCGTGAATCTGCAAGTACTTATCATGATTGTGTTGCACCTATTCGGATATTGCTCAGATATGTGTTTCAAAAAACACGAACGTATGGATGTACGTATATACATGGGTGTCGTATATTGTGTTATATATAGTTTGGCTCTGGTATACATTACAGTCTCCTCACTTATATTACGTCTGATAAGAAAATTAACATTTCTTTCACATACACACATCTGAACGCGATGTTTTATTTCTTTCGGGCTGCTTATTTCTAGATCATCAATAGGACAAAACCTTCGTGAATAGAGAATACAAAAGAAAGAAAATGTATTAATAGTACCATTTAAGTTGAGATATCATGTGGAGGATATTATTCATACATTTGTGCACATCCACTATATACCATACCGTATGTATGACTTGATATTGTCCATCATATATATATAAGTACACACACACACGCAAACACACACGCACACACAAACACACATACTCACACACACATACCCATACACACCCACGCATATACACACAGATAAACACACACATACACACATACTCACACAAATAATCACACACACACATACATACATGCATAATGTATATGTATATATATATATATATATATACATATACATATATATTCAACACATCCGTATATATTTATATAGATATATATAATCTCTCTCATACACACACAAACACACACACG